AATTGGTCTAGTATTAGAAAGGTTGCTATCAAATATAGATTTTTTAGAGATAGAAAAGATATGGCCTTTATTCCATTGTCTAGGTATAGATTGAGAGGAAAGGCAATAGTTAAAAAGAAATATAATAGTAGTAATGAAGTTGGAGCTAGCATGTTTAAGCATTTCATAGCTGATGCCAGAAGGACTATATGTCTTATTATTGGGAAGTTAATTAGACCTCTTCTTCAATAAAGTTTAAAAAGGTATTGAAGTACTAGTTGGGGTTAATATTAGATTTGGAGTCATATTTAGTTTTCTATTTAGAGTTAAATATATCTAAGTTAATATGTCGGGGGGCAGTCCAATTATCAAAGTATTGTAAAATATGAGATTTGATAGTAGAAGGATCAGTAATAATATCATTATCAAGTTGGATATTATTAAATTTGACAGGGTCTTTATAGCAATTTAAAATACTATTGATTATAGAGGTAGGATGAGTTTGTAATTTAGAACATCTTTTTTCAATAGCATTGTTAATTTGTTGTTTGATTTCTTTGATATTTTTTAAATTGCAGGCATGGAAAAGATTTTTTTACTCTGAATTAGCATTAGTAATTGAAAAGTTAAGAAGCTGATATGTAGGTAGAATTGGAGGAATATTTAGACTTGCAGAGTGATTGATTTTAGTGATAGAAGAGTTAAGATAGAATGGAATAGAAGAGGAGTGCTTAAAAGCAAACTTAATATATCAAATAACATTGTCAAGTTTTTTGAGATTTGAGTATAAGTGTGTTGCTTTTGAGGAAAAAATATGTTAAAAGTTACAGACTATATATTTTTTGTTGGGAATATGTTATAGTGCTGCTATAATAATACTAGTATAAATTTTGTACCAAGTAGTTTTGAGAGATTCAGAGGTGTTAATAGAAATGGGAGTAGAGTTGTAGTTAAGATTAGAATTGACTTGGTTAGAAAATTCTTTCTACTTGGAATTAGACATAGTTGTATAGTTAAAAACTTTTCTACATATATATGTTTTATATCTGTATTGACCATATTGAGCATAGAAGAAGGACCAATGAGAGATAAGAATCTTGTGATCACTAAGAGAACTACTATCTGTATTATCAATACTAAAAGAGATAAAAATAGTATAATAAGCCCAGATAAAATCAATTTTACTACTATATCTGAAGCTATACCAAGTAAGAGAAAATAAGTTAGAGTGAGAAGCTAGGTTATATATGTTGTTATATGAGAGATGTTGAAGAAGTTTATATCTAATAGAGGTAGAGTAGATATTTTTAGTAAAGGTATTAAAATCTCCAAGTATAATAAGGAGTAAATTAAGAGTATAAGCTTCTTGTAGCTATTGAATAATAGTGTTTTGGGTATTGAGACAAAGGAAGATATTGTTATTAGAAAGATAGGTTGAAATAATATGAAATTTGAAATCATGTTTAAAAAACAGATCAATTAGAAAAGTATAGCCAGGGATAGAGGTAATTTTGTGAATATGGGAAGTTAAAGAGTTGTGAATCATAATAGCAGTTCTAGCTTTGGAACTGTCAATACATGACCAAAAGTATGTATAGTGTTGAGTTTTGAGGGATTTGAAAGTAAGGTTGCTAATAGCAAGTTTGGTTTCAGTAAAGCAGATTATATCCAAATTGTTAGATAAGCAGTAATATTTCCAAACTTGTCATTTGAGATCTTGGTTAAAGCTATGAATATTGTGAGTATATATAGAAAGATTGAGAAGACTAGATGGTACAGAGTGTTAGTAGGATTTAAGTGGTACATATCTAAACCAGTGTAAGAGATCTTGAAATAGAGGTATAAAGTGGTTTGTGAGTAGATATGGTTCATTAGATAGATATATATGTGCTTCTATATGTTCACATTCTTTGTTTTTAGTACTGAGAATAGAGATTTTGATATAATAAGATGAGTAGTATGAGGGATAATCATGTAATATATAAGTAAAAAAAGAATAAATCATTTGTGGGTGTTTAAGTAGAGGCAGTTTATGATAAAAAAGAAATCTGTTGTAGTATGTAAGTGGGTCGACAATGCCAAGTTGTTCAGTTATTTGAGTTATTGATTCTAATTTTGGGTCATCAGTCTCATCTTGTAGAAAATCTTTAGAATTAGAGTCTAAAGAAAATTTATAGTCGGATAATGCAGATACAGAAGGGTAGGAATATTGAGAAGATGTTGAAGTTTGTAGATTATAGAGAGCTAATGATATTGGAAATGATTCTACAGAAGTGATGTTTTCTATAGTGTTCACCATATACCTGGCTTGCACAGTTCCACAAGAGCTAGCAACAATTAGATTATGCATTAGAAAGTTGTTTTGATCTAGCTCTTCTGGGTTTCTAAATTTTCTAGTTTAAGAGTATATAGTATAATCTGTTAAAATTAATAACTTGTCAAAACTAATAAAAAATTAATTTATTATCTTTTAATTAAATATAGTCTTCAAACTTAATAATTAGTCAAAACTAATACAAATTTAGTTTACTATATATATTGGTTTTGATAAGTTATACTATATATAGATTGTATAAAAGAAGTAACAAATTCAAGATTATCTTGATTAAAAAAAATAGAAGAAAATTTTTTAAAAATACTTGTAATAACTTGAAAAAACTGTTAAAATATTGCAATATTAAAGTTTTTAATATATTGATATTTTGTCACACCCCAGATAGCAGGTCTAGAGTTCGAATTCCATAAATAACGTTTTCAAAAATTAGCCCTGTGATACAGTTAATAGCTATCACCAATTGGTTGAATTCTAATCTGTAATTTTGGTAACACTATTTTGAATAGAAGCTTCAGTACAATAAATTCAAGAAACTGGAATAACCAAAAACCCATTTGGCAAGTCCCAAGTTTGGAGGTAGCATAACTTTCAATAGTGTTACAGAAAGACTGAATTTGGAATTGGGAACTGAGACTGGAAAACCAAGCGACCAGGTTCTTAAGTAGGAAGATATACTAGCTAAACCACTAGATCGCCAACTGGAGAAAAAGGATATGTGCTCTAGAAGTATGTATCAAGAAAAGTGTAACTATAAAGTATCTAAAGCCTGGGCAAACTAACTCTTCTGAGTTGCTGGCTGGAAGTAAGAAAGAGACCGGTAAAGAATCTGAAGAAAAAGGAAAGTTTGAATGTGGGTACTAAGGCTGTGTGAACTTACAAGGGCAAGGAGTAAATAACCAAAGACTAACTAGGAAAGTTGTGGCTTAAGATATAGACTGGGTTATAGTAACATCCTAAAGGGTGGCTTAAAATATGAACCTGGTAGTAGCAGCACAACAGGTATGAGTTAAAAAGAGATTACCAAACACGCAGGTAAATATATATATAGAACATGTACCGCTCTGTTAAGTTTACTTCAAGAATAAATTAGTTTTAAAGTGGCTAGTAATGTAGTAGTATTACAAAAATCTACGTATAGAATAGATGAGTTACATCCATGTTAAGTAAAAATAGGTAGTATGTTGTATTTAGAAAGTTTAAATGGGTAACCCCATAGTTGGGTTGCAGGTATAGCAAATAGTGTAGAACCTTCAGGCAGACTACTTAAATTAGACACCAAAAGTGCATGTGTGGCTTGATGTATTTTCATTATAATGTATAATACTTATAAGTTACTTAATAAAAACTAGCTAACTCAAGAAGTCACCTTAACACTTAAAAAAAAATATATATATATTGATATTCTTAAAATTAGCAAATAAAATTGTTATAAAAATAAAAAGTGAATAAATATGAAAAAAAATAGCAATAACAGTTTTAGAATTTAAATAAGAATTGCTATATTGACAACTAAAGATAATATCTCTCTAGTAGTATTATAAATTCAGGATATAGTTAATATAAAGTAGATATTAACAGTCTTTTGAGTATATTTAATTGCAAAATAAGTATTTTGATATGTTTCCCAAAAGTGATAATAAAGATGATAGAGGCTTATAGCAAGATAGTACTCTTTACAAGATAAATCTAAATAAGCAGTTTGTAAAACTGTTGTGGCAAAAAACAAAGAATATTTGATATTATGGACTTCAATTTGTTATAAATAAATTTTGTATATACAGTTTATATAGAAGTATATAACAATTATAATTATTTAACTTATTTTCTATTCGAATTGGAATTACTTATGTTTACACTAGCGATACATCGCTACGGTGATAAATTATAAAACCCTAAAAGCTATTATATAAATTTTTTTTTATAATTTTTAAGCTTTCGATATTTTTTTAATCTAGTATAATTATTGGCATTATAATCAAAACCAAAAAAGTTGAAGCTTAATTAGAAGGTTTTTTTTAGTACGCATTTACTGTTGTACGTATGTATGTACATACATACGAACATGATAAAACATTTGTAAAAGAACATATTACATCATCATTAATATTATTGGTTAATAGCTTTTTACATTCAATAGTAATACACTTTTAGAGAATGTATTGAAATTTTCTCTATAAAAATTGTTCAAATAAACAAGAACTTGTAGAGTTACTAAATTTTTCGCTTTTGTATTAAGGCGAATTTAATTTTTTTTTTAAAAAAAAAAACTTCGAGCGAAGATTTCTCAGCAGCAACCTGATCAAATTCGATGAGTCAACACAAAATCTGGCTACTCCCCGTTAAATTCTCCGTGGGAGACGTATTTGGTACATATGAGTTGAGTTAGTTGAGTTAGTTGCTCTATATTAGTTGATAATCATTATTTTTTAAGTTATTGATGTGTAACATCATGTTTTTTAACTTGCCAAATTTCAGAATTTGTTAGTAATCAATTGGACCTCCCAAAACGGAAATTTTGGAAATAAACGAAAAATAAATAAATTATAAAAAAATATGTCGGTATAAATCAGCCTTCAAAAATATAAAAATGCCTTCTTTTCCAAAACCCTGAAATTAGATTTTTGCACTAAATATTTACTGTAAACATCGTAATATTTATTGTTATTATCGTAAACTTTCGAAGATAATGCCTAATACTTCCCTAGCATGTATAAATTGTCGCGTGATTCATCGAAGATGTATAACACATTCTGAAGGCATCTGTACAAACTGTAGACATTACGGTCTTCCCTGTGTTTATGTACAGGGTAAAAAGCGTGGTCCAAAGTCAAATTCTCAGTCTCCTTCCAATATTAATCCCTGTGGAACTGCTACTGAAGTTTTACTCTCATCATTAAACGATTCCTCCTCTTTTGAAACTCCACATGCTTATAATACTAACCATTTAAACGATTCCTCTTCTGTTGAAATTCCCCTCAATGTTCACCAGACTTCTTCCGATACTTACACTTATGAAACTAATGATACATTCATTGATCAATCGTTTTTGCTTCCGTCCTCCTCATCCATTTACGAAGGATCAATGCAAAATAATAATCCTTCGATTAACCTTTTTCAAAATATCACATCATCCTTTACTAACTATTCAAACGATTCATCCTCTTTTAATACTACTTATCTTAACATCCATCCTTATGGAACTACTGATGTTCACATAATACCAGTACAAAATAATGATTCTTTAACTATTAGTCCATCTCAAAATGCCACAACGTCCTCTATTAGTTATTCAAATGATTCCTCCTCTTTAGAAATTCCATATCCTTATAATAGTAATATCATTAATTCTCCCAATACTTACACTTATGAATCTAATGATACATTCATTGATCAATCGTTTTTGCTTCCGTCTTCCTCATCCGTCCACGAAGGATCAATGCAAAATAATAATCCTTCAATTAACCTTTCTCAAAACATCACATCATCCTTTACTGATTATTCAAACGATTCATCCTCTTTTAATACTACTTATCTTAACATCCATCCTTATGGAACTACTGATGTTCACGAAATACCAACACAAAATAATGATTCTTTAACTATTAGTCCATCTCAAAATGTCACAACGTCCTCTATTAGTTATTCAAATGATTCCTCCTCTTTAGAAATCCCATATCCTTATAATAGTAATATTATTAATTCTCCCAATATTTACACTTATGAAACTAACGACACATTCATTGATCAATCGTTTTTGCTTCCGTCCTCCTCATCCGTTTATGAAGGATCAATGCAAAATAACAATCCTTCAATTAACCTTTCTCAAAATATCACATCATCCTTTACTAATCATTCAAACGATTCTTCCTCTTCTAATACTACTCATCTTAACGTCCATCCTTATGGAACTACTGAAGTCTTCCAAAATACATTCGTCGATTAATCATCTTTATATCCTTCCCCTCGTTCAAGGACTAATGCAAAATAATAAACCTTTAATTACCTATTCCAATATATCACATCATCGACTACTGATATTTTAAATGGTTCCTTCTTCACATTTTTATAATCTATCCATAGCCCTTATGTAACTATTGAAACTTCTAAATACATCATTGATAAATTTCTTTCTTTTTTCGATCCTTTAACTATTAATCTATCATAGAATGATTCTTTAATCGACATGTTGATATGAGTAATATCAAGCTCAATTTTCGAGCAGCTTATCACCGAGTTCGTTATATTAATTTTAAACATTTATTTTCGTTTAAAAGCATTTTCCTTTATGAATCCTTTTCTTTCTTGATTGTGAACAGTTTTTTCGTTTTGTTTTTTTCATTACAAATATTCACTCTTCTCGTTATAAAAAACAATTTTCTCTATTATATAAACCTTTTTTTTAGTCATGGGATGGAACTTACTCCGATAACAATTCTTTCGTTATATATAAATTTAGGCATTTATTTTCGTTACAAATATTTGCCCTCTTGTTGTAAATCCTTCATTTAAAACATTCGCTTTTTTCGTTATAACATTTTCTTTATTATATAAACATGTTTTATTATAAAATTTTGTTTTCGTTATATATATTTGCTGTATATATATTTTTTGTTACATGAATTATTTCTCGTTTCCTTGCGATATTATTTTCGATATAACATTTTCTTTATTATATAAACATGTTTTATTATAAAATTTTGTTTTCGTTATATATATTTACTGTATATATATATTTTTTTACATGAATTATTTCTCGTTACAAACATTTCCTTACGATATTATTTTCGTTATAAACTCTTATTTCGTTTTTTATTATGAACATTCCTTTTTTTTGGTATAAATGTTTCTTTGTTACGAACATTTCTTTTTATAGAAATTTTTAACGATTTCTTCGCTGTAACTATTTTTTTGTCACCATTGTCATAATTTTTCGAAAATCTCCTTTAAGTGTAAACTATTGAATCAATGTAAGTCAAAAAATTTGTACATGTAATAATCCAAACGTAGGAATAAAATAAATATGATAATAAGAAATTTATAAATTTTCAAAATGCGTACTGAGAGACCCTCACCTTCCCTAGATGCATTATCTATAAATTCTGGCCCAAGTATACACTTGACCTCAATAAATGCACTTTTTATTGTTTCAAAATGCAAGTTATTAAAGGAATCGATCTGGCCGAATTGATGTCCTTTGGTTCATCTGGTTCTAAAAGCACATACTTTTGGTAAATTCATTATGCCGAAAGTATCAAACCGAAAACCAAAAGTCAATTCGATAAGCAATTTTTGGATTCTGACCATTTGGCATCAGTCAAAAGGATAAGATCCCTGAGTTTTAATATTTTGTTCTACAAGCTATCCCAAGTTAAGGTCATGAAAATTTATTTACCTAACGGCTTACGTACATACGTACATATTGCGCAGCAGAACCATGACTTGATAATGTTAGTGTATAATTTAGTAAAGCTATTCATAATAATTTTTATTAATTTATAAAATTAATTTTGAACAATAGTTAATTTTAATTAGCTAAAAGGTATTAAATTGTTATGACGGTTTGCAAAAAGGTGTGACCCTGTGATTTCGTGATGATGATAGTAGAAAAATTTCCGAGATTTTAATTACCTATTGATCATAATTTTCGATCAATAACGTTTATATGTTATTCAAAATCTTTAAGAATCGAAAAATCTATAGAATCGGCTGATTTCTCATGACATTATGTCACACCATTAAACCTAGGCAATTCTTGAATGTGTGCCAGGTTGGTGGCGCATTAATCAGGTTAAATAATTTGCGCCAATTAAAAAATTCGTATG